TATCCATTCTATGAATCTGAATGTCTGCTGCATCTAGTCTTTAAAGAGGTTTAGAGCTAGACCAAAGTTTACATCTCGACTTAAATTCAAGAATGGGGCTCTGCATACAGCTCAGGGGAGGACCAATCCTGAGAAAGCATCCCATCATCTCCTGGAAAGGCCACAGGGTAGCAGTGAGAACCTGGAGACCACTTACAGTATAGAAGTTGAGGGACAACTGGCTTTCAAATGTGCCCATGCTCCCGTTCTTCACATGGACAGTGGCCACTCTGAAAAGGGGAGAGAATTTTGCATAAGGACTGAAACATGCCTGGTTGACAGCGACTGCAGAACACACACAATGCAGCCAGCCCTCTGCTCTCCGAGCAACTTACCTCTGGTCAAAGGCAGCCTGGTTCACCAAGTAGGTGGAGTGGTAGGTGCAGGAGAAGGAGTAGTTCACGGGCTGGTTTTTTACAATCACTGTGCTGTCGTTGGAAACAATGTGGCTGTAGAAGTGGTAGATGGGGGGCTTGTACTAGAGAAAGGAAGAAGGTGGTTAGGGTGGCCCCGTACCCCCATGATGAGAGTGATGGTTCTTGGAAAAGTGATTGGAGATGGCTCAGAAAGAAGCCCAATGGGGAGACATGAATGTCTGCCACTGCTAGTACCCACTCTTGTATCTAGGTGAGCTAATGAGTTTTGTGATGGGTTCTTGAGTCTGTTCAACCGAGATTGTTTAAAATAATCTAAGTTGTTAGCCAATAGGCATATAAAAATTTGCTCAATATCACTAAAAATTATCAGAGAAATACAAATCAAAACTACAGTGAGGTATCACCTCATACCAGTCATCATTAAAAAGTCCACAAACGATAAAGTGCTGGAGAGGGCGTGGAGAAAAGGGAACCCTCCTACACTGTTGGTAGGAATGTAACTTGGTGCAGCCACTATGGAAGACAGTATGGAGATTCCTTAAAAAACTAGAAATAGAGTCACCATATGATCCAGCAATCCCACTCCTGGGCAGATATCCTTAGAAAATTCTAATTCAAAAAACACATGCACTCCAATGTTCAAAGCAGCACTATTTACAACAGCCAAGACATGAATGTCCATCAACAGATGACTGGATAAAGAAGATGTGGTATATATGTATATACAGTGGAATACCACTCAGCCATAAAAAGGAATGAAATAATGCCATTTGCAGCAACATGGATGGGCCTAGAGATTATCATACTAAGCAAAGTAAGTCAGACAGAGAAAGACAAATATGTGATGTGTTGGTTTGATCTGTTCAGTTTTTAATTTTTTTAAAAGATTTCTTGCTGGAGGGATAAATTAGGGATTAGCAGATACAGACTACTATATATAAGATAGATAAACAAGGTCCTACTGTACAGCAGAGGGAACTATATTCGATATCTTATAATAGCCTGTAATGAATAAGAAATATATATATACATATATATATATATATATATATATATATATATACTGAATCACTGTGCTGATTCAGAAACTAACATAACATTGTAAATCAACTATACTTTGATTTAAAAAAATAAAATAATCTAAGTTGAATGTTGTCCACTTAAAAAAAAATCCATATACCCACTGGGCTTCTGACCAAAATGAACAGGCTCAAGAATCTGTATTTTGCAACATCAACTTTTCATCCATTTTCCCTGCCCAAGTAATCTCATATGACACTTTCACCCATCTCCCATCTCCAGAGCATTACTGTCTAGTTCTTAGCTCTTTCTGAGACTCTTTCCTCTGACTCACTGGACTCTAAAATCACTGAATATCAGAGTTAAAAGGGATCTTGAACATTCACTTGATAAGTCATCAGCCTAAGACCACAGAGATGATTTCTAGTTCGCTTTGCCAGGATTTTCAAATGCGTGATGTTTTTGTTAATCAAGCTCATGACGCTTCCCACTAAATCACTCAATCCTTGTGGGCCCTGTGGGAGGAGGAGGTGGCGTGGGGAGCCCTTCACTCTCATCTCCTGAGACCCAGTAGATGTACTTACTGTCTTCTGCAGTCAAGGTGGTAGGGATGCTAGACATCCATCAGTGTCAGAAGACCCAGCCTCCCTTCAAGACTTCTGGTTCTGTGGCCTCGAACTAGTGACTCTGCTGGGAGGCCTCAGGTATCTCCTCTGATGTGTAAGGACGCTTTGCGAGAGGATGTCTGTGGTTACTTTTTTTTTTTAAATTGAAGTATAGTTGGTTACAATGTGTCAGTTTCTGGTGTACAGCGTGATGTCGCAGTCATGCATATATATACACATATATTCATTTTCATATTCTTTTTCATTAAAGGTTATTACAAGATATTGAATACAGTTCCCAGTGTGCTATACAGAAGAAACTTGTTCTTAATCTATTTTTATATATAGTGGTTAACATCTGCACCTTTCACTCTGATTTTCTGTCCTGGGTACTTCACAAGATCCAGTTATGGATTGTGTCATGCTCTGGTCTCTCCTTTCAGATGCCCTTCCAAATGCACTTTGTCACCACTTCAAAGTCTTGGGCAGAGGCTGGGCCACCCATCCAGCCCAGGAAGGATGGCAACTTGAGATCCCCTGCTCAGAACTTGAAGTGGGGTGGAGGTGGGGAATGTCCTTTGTTCTACTCACAGAAGGTGGCCTCGGTGCTCAGGCAACAAATTAGGAGAATAAACTTTAAATCCAAAGAGTCGCTCAAATTAGGCAGAAGAGAAGAATATAAACAACACTAACATCCCTGGAAATTTGGGAGTCAGGATTGACTCTTAAAAGGAAAATGGTGAATTCTGAATCCTTTCAAGGGTAGGCAGTAGACGTCTCATTCTTGGGCCCAGTTGCCTCAACTTGGCAACTCCTTCGTGTGTGGCCTGGACTTACCTCGGACTGGGTTCCACAATAGGACTTGTTTTTAGGTGACAGATCTGGGATGACAAATTGATAGTAGCCTCCCTCGTGGACCCCGTTGTAACACAGCCCACCGAGCGCCAGCTGATGTACCTCCCATCCATAGGGACATTCGGGGATTTTGGTGATGATCGTTTTGGGATAACAAAACACAAGAATGACATCTGGAAAGAGGATAGACATGGTCTGAAATCAGATCTTGTCACCGTATTAATCTACACAGGTTGGGTTCCAGCTACACCTGAGCATGCAAAGCAGTTGGTTAAAAATACTTTCCTCACTATTCTTCATGAAAGTTTCTCTCCAAACTTCAATCACTGAAGTTCCACTTTTATAGTTTTTGCAATCTCTGTGTAATATCTGCACTATTCTTACTATGTATTCAAAATTGGTCCACTTTTAAACTTTAACCTGTTTCAAGGAATGTATCTTTGAAACCAGATTGAATGGATTGGAAATACGTGTGTGTGTGTGTGTAAAGTTTTGTATATATATAATTTTTTAATTTCATGAAATGAGCACATAAAATTTTAAAGGTCCATTTATGCACAGTGCTGTGAGACAGTCATTTATGGCACAGGACAGAAAATTAACAGTCAAATAGAAAAAGCGTGGAGATTTTATTCCTATTTATGGGTTTATTCATCCATCTAGCATTCTCTCATTTTTAAAAATTTCCAAGTTTATCCAATACATTTGTACTTTCGGTAGGAAAAGCCTGATTGGGATTGGGGTGCTTCAGTGCTTCTCCTTGGCTGCATTATTGCATTTTCATAATAAATCAGCCCAGAGCTTTGAGCTCTGCAAAGGAAAGGGGCCAAAAACCTTCCTTCCCAGAAAGATGCACCAGCACAGAGCGTACCTGCTTTACTTGGAGTGCACGATCTCGCAGAGGCTTCTGCAAAGACGACCAGCAGGACAAAGGCCCTCAGCACCATGGCTTCTCAGAACCTGGTCTTTGCCAGGTGGCCAATCAAACTGGCCAAACGTTCACGGGCAGTCCTGCCAGGGCCCGAGCCTCGATCATTCTGGGTCAGAAACATGAGCGAGAAATTAGAATCAAGGGTGAGAACAAAGCAGCACATACAGTCTTGAGGGGACTGTCCAGAGGAGATGGCCCATGCCTCCCGTTTCTAGTGGCTCCTTTTCTGCTCAAACATGGGGCTCCTACCACAGAGGGTGTCAGTGACACAGGCAGCTGCTCCCGTTCCCGACAGTTTCATTCTCTTCGACTGTGGATGCTGCCTCTCAGATGCTCCCCAAATCTCTGGCCCCAGTCCTAGCTCAACTTTATATAGGCCGAGAGTGAAAAAGAAACCGGCTCCAGATAAATCACAATGAACACACATTATCCACTGCAGGGGGAATAAAAGGCAACCTTGCACACAATCCGATGGGCAGCTCAGTTACGGCCACTTGAGGCTAATTTCTTTTACTTTACAGAGTAGGAAGGACTTTTTTTTTTTTTAACCACTTTTTAAACCAGGGTTGGAATAAAAAGTTGAATTTTTTCCTCCTCCTACAAAAAATAGCTCTGATTGAAGACAAACTAATTTCTGCATTGTTCCAGGAGACAATTTTCTTTCTTTACATCTCTCTTTCTTCACTTTAGTTCTTGCTTTCTTGTTTTTATGTGTCGGTTACCTGAACTTGGAGCTGAAGAAGACTTAGGTTCAGCATTTTGTTGATACCGAACAAAAATTAGGCTGTTTCTGTTAATGTAAACATATTAAAAATTTTTTTCTCTCATATTTTATAATAAAATCTGAACTTCTGGAGTTTCATCCTAAAGTTCACCTAGCTCTTTATCCTGAAATACAACTTTTGATTGTTGACCCCCTAGGTTTCTAAAGTTGTGTTAGTCTTGCAGAGTGATGATATTGGAAGAAGGAACTTAAAGAAGCAATCTTTTTTTTTAATTTTTATTTTTTATCAAAGCATATTTGATTTACAATGTTGTGTTAGTTTCTGGTATCCAGCAAAATGATTCAGTTACATATATGTATATATGTTCTTATTCATATTCTTTCCCATTATGGTTTATTCCAGGATATTGAATATAGGTAGTTCCCTATGCTATATAGTAGGACCTTGTTGTTTATCTAGTTTATGTAAAGTAGTTTGTTATCTGCTAATCCCAAACACCTAATTTATCCCTCCTCCTCCCCTTTCCCCTTTGGTAACCATAAGTTTGTTTTCTATGTCTGTGAGTCTGTTTCTGCTTTGTAAATAAGTTCATTTGTATCATATTTCAGACTCCACAACTAAGTAGTATCATATGGTATTTGTCTTTCTCAGGAAGGCAATTTTACAATTCAATCCTTCATCACCAAACAAGATCCCACCAAAAACAACAGATAAAATGCTTGTCCTGGGAACTTCCCAAATATACTACCGGGCAATGTTTAGCGCCCAGAAATTTAAGAATGAAAAATAAGAATTTCTTTTAGTTTTGTTTTTAGAGGAAACAGACTCTTTTATCAACCAACAGAGAGCATATCATACAAAAGCCACCACATTAAGCTTTTTGAGGGACAGATGTAAGAAGTACAGGAAAATACCCTGCCTCGAAGGAGTTTCTAATGTAGCTGAGAAGGTAAACCGCATACAATGACTCAGAGTTAGGGTGCCGTGGTAAGTCATCGCTTTGCCTCTCACCACATTTCCTTCGTTTTAAGCTACATGTCTCGCCCTCCAAGTGTATGTAACTTAAATGTCTCAGAAACAGTGGGATGTGTCTTATTAGCAATATGCATAAGCAACATGGTAGAGTTTCCTTATATCCTCAAATCCTGTTGTGAAAGCGATCGTATGCCTTATAATGATGGTAGTGAAGAACCGAGGAAACAGCCATACAGCAAGCCACCAAAGATTTCTCTGACTCCTTCTCTGTAAGTGGAAGCCACAGCCCTGGGCTCACCCCACAGGGCGGAAGAGCCATGATGAGAAGGCTCTTGTAAACCGTAAAGTGCTAGAGAAAGTAATAGATTTGAAAAGACAACTAACAGTTTCTGGCAACACATATGTAACCCTAAGTTGTTTTACTTTTCCTTGGAAGCGCCCTGAAGTGCCCACTGTGGATTCACACAACATGAAACACGTATGCTGTACAACACACATGCAGTCACTATAGCTTATGAATAAAGACTCAGTGGGCTGAAGAGGGGAAGAGGAGGGACCTCATTCATTTTTTTTTTCACACTAGGATGGAATTTAATGTGACTTGGAAACGTCAGCAGGTTTATACTAGTGTCTATAACTCGTTATAGGCATTATTCCTGAGCAAAAAAATGGCACATGAATTTCACAAGCATGTGTAAATTCTCTTGAGTTTCTCTTTCCTAGGGCTTAGCACTAACTCTGAGCTTCTTCCTTCTTCCATATTTTAAAAAACACATTTTGAGTTCATACAGTACACCAGGCACTGGACGAGCTCCTGGAAAGACATAGGCAAATCAGCAGAACTGGGAAATGGGTGGGTGGGTGGCAGGTGCACAGAGGGATAAAAATCTGTCCTGGGAACGTGGACTGGAAAGGGGGGAAAAGGGCCAGTCAACATGCCTGACAGAGAAAGTAATAAGTAAGCTGAGTCACAGAACCTAAACCTAGTTGCATAAGGAATGGCCCCTCTGAGTTCACATAAATGATTATTTGTCACTGACCCTTCAGTATGGCTCTCCTTGTATGTTAGCATACTTGTTTCTATTTCAAGAAGATTCTCTTCACCCTTCTTTCAAATATGTCCTTTTCAGCCAACCTTGACCCTGGCAGGTCAATAGGATCATCTTAGCTCTGACCTGAAAGGGCAGAGTCCACTTATGGAAGGGGTCACAGTGGAACTAAAGGCCTGTCCTGTCTCCCAGTGGAAGTGTCTGCTGGATACCTACAAGATGCTGGGCAGACAGACTCTGCAGTCGGCCTGGGATCGAGAGCCTACCTCCACCACTTACTAGCTGTGGGTTCATGGGCAACTTACTTAGCTTCTGTGAGCCTGAATTTCCTCTTTTCCTGAAAGGATCTGATAATATCTATGCTGTAACGTTACTTGGAGTATTAAATGAAATGTAAGTTGGTTTGCATAGAAAGGCTTATTTTCTTCTAGAGGGGCAGGGCATCAGGGAAGATTTTCATGTTATGCCCAGTTCTGCTTGGAAAATCCAAATTGGGGAGCCTGTTAGGAGTGGGTTATCACTCGATGGTATGTATACCTTATTGTCATCAGTGCTGAATTGTGTCGCAGGTACTGTATGGAACTGGAGGTTGTGGCTCTGTCACATTTCCAGTTGTGTGATCTTGGGCAAGTAACTTGATCTGTCCAAGCCTTCAGTTTCCAAATCTGTACAATCAGGCTTCGTATCTCCTGTGGCTGTTGCAAGGGCCTGATGAAACAACGCGTGTCAGTTACTTAGCACAGTTCCTGGCACACAGTAAGAGCTCAACAAATGTTCACTGGTTTATCCGTCTGAGGCTGGTATCCTCAGGCTGGAAGGACAGGTCAGTAGTGTCCCTGTATGAACTCTGGATGTTCTCTAATGGGAATACGTCTCTCTTTAGAAGCCCACCTTCTCTAAGAGCAGGTGCCTTTAATTTCTAAAGAAGCCCAATCATGATAAGATCTTGCCTTCAATTTCTTGGAGGGGGTCCCAGCTAACAACCAGGTACATGATACTCCTTTCAAGGGCAAGCTGAATAAAGTTGGGGAAGCAGAGTCAACTTTTGTGGCAGGCTGGTCTCTAGATGTTTAATTTGCATAAGAAGCAGAATGGAACAAAATGTACTTGGGCCAAACAGTATTTGATACTTGCTCTGATAAAAGGTTGGAAGCTCCTATTTTTTCCTAGTAATTACCCACCACTCCACTGCTCACCCCCACCCCCCTCCCCCATCCCCTCTCTGCCTTCTACCACTCCTCTGCCTTCCTGAGATGATGGAGCAGGAGGGGGTGCCACTGGGAGGCGATCCCAAAGCCACCCCTACTGAGGGTCATTGCTATGTCTCCATAAAACACAAATAAAACTGATGGGAAGGTTTTAACAATGTCAGGATCTTGAAGGAGCGCGATAAAGAGGGTTTGATGGCAGACTCATCGGAGAGATGAGTTTGTCTCTCCTTATATCTTTCTCTTGCGAATTGCTGGGCAATAGAAGATACCTGTTCTATTTGAAGGTCTTGCATGTTTTGGGAAAGCTGGCTCAGATGCAAAAGGGTTGTTGCCATTTGCAAAATTCCAATCAACATTGTCATTCATAGCTCAGAAATCATGTAAGTGATGAATCATGATGATAAGCCAATAAACTCTTACTGAGGTAACAGATGGAGTTTGAAAACAAAGCTAATAAGCATGCATTAAAGTTTAAAAGGCTGCTTTATTAACTTATTTTTTTAAGCGCACTGTTTTAAATGTTGGCTTTGTTAAATGGACTCCATTGTTTTCTTTAAGCCCTGAATCAAGCAAGCCTTCTTCTACTTTGTGGGAGACTCTGTTTGCCAATTTGCAAATGAGTGGGTGTTCCCTTGCAGGCTTCAATGACTTACTCCTCCCAGATTCACAGTTCTCCAGAGAAAGTGGTGTTCCCCTCGCGGAAAATGTGCTTCATAAAGGAGAACTGAAAAGTGAGACAAGACCCTCTCTGAGAGTGCATCAGAAATTCAGAGCAAGTAGCTTAACTCCCGCATCCCTCTTCAGACCCTGCAGCCACCAGTTTCCCAAGGCAGATAAACTGGCCTCTCCAGGTTTATCTGGCTAATCTCTAAGCAGGGGATAAAGCCTTGCCCTCTTTCTCTGAAGAGGAAGACCCATCCGCCTCTCCCTCTCCTATCTACCCACCACCCTCCTTGTCTCCGATCGATCGCAGGACTGGAGAATGAAAAATAGCTCCTCCTTAGATCAAGAAAGTTGAGAACTTGGGAAGTTACAAAGGTAGTTTCTACTATTCATATAAAATATGCACCCGACTGTTTTTAATGGCTGTAGGGCGATGGTTTTGATTAAAGCAACTTATAAATCATGACAGGATTTCCATTGTACCATTTATAACTCATTATTTGTGGAGGAAAATTAGAGCAGTAAGTTTATGTTGCAAACTTTCTTTGTATGGTAATGATTAAAAAAGAAAACCCTTTAATTGGATTGACCAGTCTTTTGATTTCTGAAATGAAGTTCTTTGCTTGCATAGCCAAAGGGAAATTGTAATTAAAATGGATTAATTGATCAATAGCTGCAAGGACCAAGGCGATAAATGGTAGCAATATACATGAATAATTATAGTCTCCTTAACCAGCAG